CATTAGGTTCACATTAATATAGAGCAGTGTGAGCCTCTAATTGAATTAGTTATCGCTGAGGAGGTACTTTTGGGGATGATATGCATATTCTAATACAACTAGAGGCATTTGGGGACACAATCAGAATGAAACTCGCAGCTTAGTCTTATCTTGGCGTAAATGGATTGCTGTATCACTCTGAGGTGATGGAGGTAGGAGCCTGTTAATTTGGGGATGGATGTTAGGTAACTGGCCTTTGCAGAGTGAAAATACCATATTATTCCAAAAATGACTGTTACGTCACAAAGTCACTGCTCAACTGTGCTGCGTGTGTGTGTGTCTGTGCGTGCACGTGTGTGTGTGACGGTCTCGTTTAGACCGGATTAGGAGGTCAGAGGTTCGCTCTGCCCTGTTACACACAGAATGCAGAGGGCCCTTCAAGACCAGGTTTCCCCAAATATGGTCAGGATTACTGAGGATACACATACGTAGATAATATTCTGGGTGAACTACTAGAAGTGCTTGAGTGGCATCTGAATTTTATTTGAAAAAGATTTCCTTGTGCTCAGATAAACTCAAGCATCTTGGATTCATGATAAACATTGAAACCAGTTTGTGGTGCTCCTGCAAAAACAACACCATGCTGAGTTAGAGACCTTAACAGGATTAAAATGCTCCAAATTAAAGGATGCTCAAAAGAACAAATTTAATTTGGGAAGTGCCCTGTCACATCTGTTTGCCAAAGATGCACACCCTCCACCCACTGCCCTTACTCTGCTCCATCTTACAGGACAGAAAAGTTAAGGATAACCGAGAGAGAACATGTGCAATGAAGAGAAGCTTTGAAGACTTGAGACGGCAAGAACTGGATAGAGAGAGGGGGGGGAAGGGGGCGAGTGGGTTGCTCACAAATATGGGACTTCTCCTATTGCCCAAATATGTACCTATTAAAAGAGAATTTGTGCCCCGCTGAGCTGCCGAGGAGGCAGCCAGGAGAAAGGAGCAGTGGAAATAGAACATGTCCATATAGAGAGGGGAGCTGAGGAGAGAGGCAGCATGAAGGGGCAGGGGTTAAATGCTTCCCCAGAATTTGATCTTTCCACTGGCGTGAACTCAGTGAAAAAAAGCCCCCCCAAGTCCCTCCTGACTGACAGCCCAAGGGCCTACTGTGAGCATGATTGAGCAGAGACAGCTAAACTATTTCCCAAGAAAGCCCAGCTTCTAAATCAGCTCAATATGCAAGAATGATGTTTACAAATGTGTGAAAGCTGTAATGATGAGAGACTGAGACTTCTGCATGAACCTTGAAAACATGCAGCATTAGTCTTTCCCTGGCACTGACTGACAGGGGGGGAAAAAGAGAGAGAAAGACGTGAGACAGAAAAAGGAAAACCTGTCTCGACAAACAAACAGCCCACAGATGTTGCTCCTCTCTGACACGACTGGTCTCCCTAGCAACCCTGCTGGCCAGTAATAGCCTCTAGCTTGCCTGGCTGCAGCAGCGTCATGCAGATGCACACACAAATAGGCGCATTTCAGCCTCTGAATGGGATCCCAGAGGGTATTTTTAGAGACATGGGGACTCACTAGCCCACCCAACCCTTCCAACCCCTGAGGTAATACCGGAGAACACACATCTCTAAACACAGACCATCAACCCCTATCATTAAAAGCCCCAGCCACACACATAAGCACAGTCATAAAAAACAGATCTGCAGAGTCCCTCGATTCTAGTAAACAAGCCCTTCAACTGGTGATAGGAGATAACTGGGAATTACAAATTGAAGGCAACTTGTCCTGTCGACGCTTTCTTGGGTACGTTGAAAAAGCTCTCCCTGAACTGCCCGCTTTATATTACAATAACAACTAATAAGAAAATGTTTTTTCATTTTCTGCAGAAATACACTGGAGCTTCTTCTAAACATCACCAGCCTGTTCACTGAGTGTTTTTCTTGCTATTCAATGCATTTGAAGAAAAATTCTTATAAAGTGAGCGCTGGTATTCATACCAGCCACTTCCCACATTCAGATTCAACAGGTGGTGAATGCAAAGAGGATTTTTACTGATTATTACAACTTGCTTGTCCTATACTTGCACCATCAGTGCATAACAAGACTTAGTTGACAGACTCTGCCACCCCAACTGAAGACATATTTTTAATTAAGATAAAATAAGATAAGATAACTCTTTATTGTCATTGCACAGTCATACATAGTACAATAGTACAATGAAATTGGAAAACTGTCCTACGTCGGCACTACATATAACACAACACGACCCGATACGACACATCACAACGCAACACAAACAACACAACACAGTATATTAACTTAGTAATAAAAAAGAAGAATAAGTGTATTTGTATTGCACACTGTTATTATTGCACATTAATTGTTTTTGCACCTTGTTATAAATATAAATATTATTATTGTTACTGTTTTTACCGTTGTTACCTCCCCCCCAAAAAGTCCAGGGAGGTAGCCAGTCAGGTTAGCCATTTTTCAATCGATTTAGGGCTATTGTCCTGTTGTAAAAGCTGTCCTTGAGTCTGTTTGTTCGGGACCTCAGCAGCCTGAACCTCCTGCCAAACGGCAGCAGCTTAAACACCCGGTGTCCTGGGTGTGTGCAGTCCCGTAGGATGCTGCATGCCCTCTTGAGACAGCGAGTGCTGTACAGGTCCTTCAGGGAGGGAAGAGGATGTCCAATGATTTTTTGGGCCATATTAATGACCCTCTGGAGTGCCTTTCTGTGTGCTGTGGTGCAGCTGGAGAACCACACA